CATCTTGGCCAGGCTGGTCTCGAACTCCTGATCTCGTGATCCACCTGCCTCAGCCTCCCGAAGTGCTGGGATTCCAGGTGTGAGCCATCATGCCTGGTGCCTAATATACATTACTTTCTAATGCATGGTAATTTTTTGTTCGGTAGATAAATATATTATTGTTATTTTAAAAAGATTTTTTGTATTTATTTTTGAGACTGGGTCTCAGTCTGTTGCCCAGGCTGGAGTGCAGCAGCCTGATCGTGGCTCAGTGCAGCCTCTACCTCCCCAGGCTCAGGTGATCCTCCCCACTCAGCCTCCCGAGTATCTGGTACAACAGAGGTGTGGCACCATGCCCGGCTAATTTTTGTATTTTTTGTAGAGATGGGGTTTCGCCATGTTGCCCAGGCTAGTGTTGAACTCCTGGATTTGAGCCACTGCATCTGGCCTATTATTTTAAATGTAGTTCTCTTTACTGCCAGTAGCTTTCATATAACCCCAGGTACTAGATTTAGTCACCACTGCTTAATTCCAAAAATCAAAAGCTCCATCCTATATTTACTGTAAATCAGTCTCTTTGATTGTATTGTATATTTTATTTCAAGAAAAAAGTTAATCTGAAGATTTAATTTTAAATAACTACATATGTTGTCACTAATAGAAATAAAAAATAATTATATGAGACTAATGGTAATTCTCCTCAGTAAGTTTTGTGGTAAATTTTTGGGCAATTTTATTGAAGTATAATAAAATTCAACAATTCAGTACGTTTTTATAAATGTTCATTGTGATATAGGACAGCTCTATCACAGTATTGGGGTAAATTTTAATTATATTCATTAATTACAGATGTGAATTTCTTCAAAGTAAGAAATCCTCAGAGGAGATTGCCCAGTATATTCAAAGCTACAAGGGATTTGTTGGCATAACGGTAATGTAGAACAGCAATTTTTTTCTCAAGTCTTTGGATTACCTACAAATGTCTGACTCTGAAGGGCGTAGGCATTCTTTTTATGTCATGGGTTTGATTTCTTTCTTCCTTTCTCCTTTCATTCCCCTGGCTCCCATCTTCAAAGTGAAACAATATCACATTCACTTGCTGGCCTAGAGCCTTTTTCTTTTTCCAGAGCTGGCTTCTGATGGGCTCTGCTTGCCTTCCTGATAGTCTTCCCCTCTATGAATGAATCCACTTGTCCCAGCTTCCCTCTGCTGCCCCATCTGCACGCTTGCTATGATCTCCTGACCTATGCGCTGTCACCCACAGTGGGCCGCAGAGCTGGCTCTTCCCAACTGGCTAACTATCCTGTATCAGTACCAATTTCCTAGTGGAGAGTGATGGGAAATTGAATCCAAACTGGCT